ATTGCCTGCCCGAAGTTTGGGGTATAGAATGAGAAGCTGCGGTTTAAAAGGGAGGACAAGAAGAGGTGTAAAAGCTCATCGATGGAGGACGAAAAAGGGAACCTCTCTAAAACATTTTAGGTGTGAGTAAAGGTTCCAGTTTGCCTGATCAAATTGCCAGCGTGGGATGTGAAGAGGTGGTGAATATGAAGGGAAAGTAAGAATGATTGGGAAATGATCGCTGTCATGTAAGTCCGGAAGAACAGACCAAGTGAAGTCTAATGCGGCGGAGGAAGAGCAGACTGAGAGATCGATGCAAGAGAGAGTGAGTCCGAGGATCAAAATGGGTGTGATACCTGTTTTTAAAACATGGAGGGGTGGGTGGAAAGAAAAGCCTCTAATGAATGCCACGGGAATCACAGTGAAAACCCCCCCCAGAGGAAATGGTGGGCATTAAAATCACCAAGTAACAGATCGGTGGGGGTTTAATGACGAAACAAGAAAGGCAATATCCGGAATAGATAATGCACGAAGGAGAGATATACAAAGAACAGAGCGTATACCACTATGCAAGTGGATACGGGTTGCTGTGTAATGCAGCGAAGTACGAACAAATAGCTGATGGTACGGAATATCAGTGCTTTAGAAGAAGGGCACTTTCATTAAAGGTCCCATCGGGAAAAAGGGAAACTGAAGATACAATAAATTATGCTGAGATGGGGAGATAACAGCAGAGTGTAATTTTGGTTCCTGTAGGCAAACACCAACAGGGGAAAACTGGGAGAGTAACATCTGAAGCTCACCCCGATTACCCCTGGAGGCCGCGTTTTATTCCACTGTAAATAGGCCATGATTGGCAATGATAAAGATACCTGAAATCCGCAGGTAAGGGTTCCCTACGGACTAGGGGTTAGAAAAGTCCACATGCGGAGGCAGTGGAAAACGTTCAAGCAGCAAAGGGAAGTTGCGCTGTGAAGAAAGGAGTTGCGCAGAATGGAGTAGAGGAGAGAGAAGGAGCGGAGGGTGGATCAGTTCCATTGAGGGGTTTGGTTCTGCAATATATTCAGAGATTGCTTCAAGTGTTTTCAGAATTCAGAGACGTCGTATGGGAGACAATATTGGAAATGGTAGGGGGAGTGAGTAAAGATTGGAACTGTAATGGACTGTACCAAGGTAGGGGGGGGCGAAAGGGTGGAGGGAACTGGAGAAGCGTGGAAGGGGACAGAAGAGGCAGAAACCTGGGAGGTGGCAGAAGAGGAAGAAACTTGGGAGGGAACAGGGGGGGAAGGGTTTCAGTACGAGGAGGAGGGTGAACCTCTACACTTGTAACAGCCCGTGAGAGGGGGAGAACCAGGTACAGAGACAGGAAGGGAAAATGAGGAGGTGGAAGGGTGGGTAGGTGTTAACGGGGCCTTTTTTTGACTTTTGAGAAGTAGAGGGACGATTGGGAGGAGGTTCATACGAGATCTCATCGCTACTGAGGCTTGTGAGAGGAACACGAAGAAGCGAGATCAGACTGAGACGTTTTAAGTAGGGACGTCTGGGGCCGAGGACAGCAAAAGAATTGGCTTTCAGGAGTGACTATGGGAGAGGTAACCACAGAGGTGGGTGCAGAAGATGGGATACCAGAATTTATGGGACGTTTTGAAACCGGGAATAAGAAACATGAGGTAGTCTCCCTTGGAGGCGGAGATGAGAAACTGCCATGGCATAAGGGAGACCTTCTGCCTCTTTGAGGTAAGGATTTTTCCCGCTCGTTTAAGTAGACTTGACAACGGCGAAGTAAATACGAAGGGTGAGCCTCATGACAATTGAGGCAAGAGGTAGGTTGATTGCAAGACGTATTAGAATGGTCATCGGCACCACAGACTGGGCATTCGGCGATAGATCTGCAATATTTCGCTGGATGGCCAAATCGCCAGCAATTTCTACACTGCTGCGGTGTTTGGGATCACCTTTCAAACTTGTAACCGAGTCCTGCTACATAAACTGAGGATGGGAGTTCATGGCTGTCAAAAGTTAAACGAGCCACATTGCTAGGGTATCGTCTCTGCCTGCGGGCAGGAAGAATGTAAGTGTCTACCTTGAGAATTGGGAGATCTTGGAGTTCCAGCTGTTCAAGAATGTCAGTGCCACATGTCTGGAAATTTTGTTGAACTATGGTATGGGGCAGAATGACTGTACCACTACAAGAATTGAGGGGAAAGATGCCTTTCAAAAGTGGGCAGGAACAGTATCGAATATGGGAAAGACGAGAAAAGCTCATGAGCCTGGGTTTGCATTCTGTACGATGATGATGCGCGTTTCCGCTCTTAAGAGCATGAAAAGAAATATCTTTACCAACATGGCGTAGGAGTGCCTTGCCAATACTGTGGTCAGAAAGATAGGCAGTAGAGGAAAATCGATCATAAAGTGAAGAATTAGTCCATTGTGCAGTCTGAAACTTGAGCGTGGGGAAAAGGGGTGAAGGACGTGTCGATCTTTTCTGAGAACGAGAAGGTGGAGAAGTATCATCAGCAGGTAAATTTTCGTTGGCGTTTAGGCGTGGGACCAGAGTCGGTCCGACGTGGAACGGGCCAGCGATTCGAAAATTGCCACAAACCCTAGAGGGAGAGGCCGGAAGCATAGTCAGAGGAGAGCGAAGGTCAGATAAATCGAAGGAGTCAGTCGAGGCCTCAGTCCTGAAGCGGGTGAGGAAACAGCACCGGGAAGAGTACAGAGGCAGAGGAGTGTCCGAAGAGTGGTCCAAAGACGAGGCGGGGTCAGAACAGGGTTTCGGTATCAAGAAGGGGCCCGGGGGTAAACAGGTTCATGGACTAGGGCTGCCATGGTTAGGTTACTTCTTTCTTTTTGTTTTTAAGAAAAAAAAAGAAAGAAGAAAAGAAAATAAAAATAAAAAAAAAAATAAAAAAAGGGGGGACCAGGGAAAGGGGTAGTTCCTAGGAGGAATGAAAAGGGCCAGAAATCTCCCTCCGTGCCCAAGAGGACCTCAGCACCGCAAATAGCGCAGAGCAGCATGGAACCCCTGCGATACCCTGCCCATCATGCCAGTTAAACCCGGGAATCCGGGATAGCAAACCTCACATCTGCGAGCTACCTCGGTGGACAAAAGAGAGGGCGGCCAGAAATCCGCCACAAAGCATACCTCCTTCGGCCACCACCCCCGGAATCCGAAAGGTGGCTTCCAGAGATATACCCGTCGCCCGAGAGACACCCAAAGCCACCCTCCAGGATACCAGAGAGGGATCAGGACATCCCCAGGCAATCCAGATTCCACGGCAAACTACGCCACCGCCAAGAACCTCAACGGAATGGGATGGACCCCGGTACCCTTTCCCCTACCTAGGATCTAGCATGCCTGTGGGGGGGGGGGAACCCAAAGGCCAAAAAGGAAGGGCAAAAGGGAGGGGTGGGGAGGTGGAGGAGGAAAGGAAAAAGGGAAGGATGGGGAGGATGGGATAGGGAACGGGGGATTGGGGGGTAATTAGGTTCGGTCTGAGGAAGGAGACTGACAGGTCTAATTCCTCAGACCAAGAGCCTCTTCACCACGCCAAGGAGCCCCCCTTGAAGAGGCCTTGGTCAAAGAGACTGGCTGTCAAGCACACTGCCAAGTGTTATACTCCTTTTGTCTGCCACCTCCCAGAGATGACAGGCAGCCTCCACATCTTTCTTATAATTGCTCAGGTGCTGATTGTGTTCTCTAATTGTGCTTTAGGAATTAGTATTTTGTTGGATTTATTCTACTCTTTTAACCCTTAACAACTCTTCAATTTATGTTTAATATGCTGGAATGAGGTCCAACAGTAGGTAGAATGAACCGCAACCATGAACTTGGGGAAAAAAATGTAGATATTGTACATACAAACATATGACAAACTAAACACTGAAGATGGGACACCATAACCAAGGAGCATAATGTTAACTATAAACAAGTAATAACAATACCAAGCACTTTTAGCATTTTTTTTTTTTTTGTGCGTTAATAAAGTAATTATCAAGCAATATATGGACAAGATAGATAGGAACTACGAAAGCATAGAGAGTTACTATGTTACCTTTCTAGACATTTCAACATCTCACTATTGGCCAATATAAGGCTAGATATGCTTTCACCAATGGCAATATATTACCATTTTTTGCCAACTGGAATTGTACCATAAGTGTGTTATTGTAGTACTAAAGACATTTTGCAGTCTCTCTAGCTGAACATTTGCCATGTGATCCTTATGGAAGTGATTTCTGGTTTATGTGCTTGGCCCTCCCTGATGTTATCAGTCGGACATTCAGGCACAACCAAGTGACTCTGATCACTGATTGGCTACATCAAAATGGATAAGCAGCACAGTATCCCAGGAAAAAGCATCACAGCTATCATCCATATAATTAAAGGAATGCCAGATTAAGAGTCAAATCCCTCTCAAGGAAGGTTCCTTGATGTTGGCGAGGGGCTCTTGATCTAGGGAATTGGATTTGCGCTTCAGTTCCCTGAATTAAGCCTGAATACCTTCCACATTTCCCCCCCACAGGTGCTGCATAATCCTACAGGTTTAGCGCTCCTTGATTATTATTATAATAATAATAATGAGTCAAGTAAGCTAAGTCATGCTCTTCCACTGAATGAATTAAAACAGACTCCAGACAGGGGTTTGAAAATAGATGTGATTTGCAAAGTAATTACAAATATGTAGTTAATCCAAGATGCTATGTAACAGATCTTCAGGTATGCCCAGTGTCAAAGTAACTTCAGTAACAGAACTCAATTTGCTTCTTGTATGTAGATTTAACTGATATTTCTTTCACACTCCAACTGATGATAAAAAAAAAAAAAAAAAAAAAAATATAGTATTGTAACATTTGCAAAATACTTAATATTACAATCAATAATATAGATTTTTGTCAACCTGATTCAATATGAATAATCCAAAATTTTGTAACATAAAAGCAGTATAAAAGGTTAATAAGAAGTGAGGTAACCATGGACAACACCCAAGCCCAAACAAGGTAATGGAGTCAAAAACAGATTTGTTACAGTTTCTATATTAACAGAAAATAAGTTTCAGCAGAATATAATTGAGTTGCAATGTGTACCCTTCATTAAACCCTTCACAAGTGAGCCAAGAATATTACTACTGACTGTAGTTCTAACACTGAGAAAACAAAATGAGTAGGAAATTATGTGCAATAAAAATGAAATGGTACTTAACCATTAAGAAAAATTATGTATATAAATCACATAGCTAAAGGCCTCCCTGTCTTAAGATGCATGTGTAACAGCAGTGTTTAAAACCTTGGGGTTCAGTGTTCAACTGAGAAAGTTGAGGCACAAAATAACAAAATTACTTTTACTAAAATGATTATTTCCATTTTAGGTATTATATGAAAAATACATAAAATATCAGGATCATGATTTGATTATATATATTACCAGTGATGTACACTATAAAATAATTAACAAAGTATATTTAATTTTTTTTTTTTTTTACATTTTCATCACTGGGTTTACTGCAATACATAAATATTTCGTCAACTGGGCAAATGGTTACATTAATATTTAAAGTGAAAATGCAAAAGCTTTCCATTAATCAAATTCACATTGAAACTGCAATATCTTCAATACTGATAATCACAGCTACGAATACCCAACATAAAAAATAACTTTGTATATATAATATACACTCAGCGCATACAGTTAGGAATTTGTATATATTTTGTGTGTATTCCATACTGTATTCACTTAACGCCTTTAAAAATCAAAATTAAAAAGAAATACATCTTCTGAGATAAAAACTTCAGGTAGGCAGAGAATCAAATAAGAATTTAATGGAACTTCTGCAATGTAGTTTGCAAAAATATGTTTTGGAAAAGTGATTTGGAATCTCTATAGAATAATATTAAGACTGCCTATACAAGAGTACCGAGTGTAATGCTTCACGCACACTTGGCACAACAACTATTGGCCCAACCTTGTAAATGGAGGCAGCCCAAATATATTAATGGAAGCAAGCAATTTTGAGTCAATGTTTTCAATAGTCAGCATTTTTTTTTTTTTAGCCTTAATTAACATGTATGGCTTTTCTCCAGCAAAGTACTTTATTGATGTCTTCATATTCTACCACCTTTCAAGCTATATTACTGAGATTACTCAACAACCTACAGGTACAATCATTTGATGAATAAGTATATTTTATTTACAAACACCTTTTCTTTACAGCAACCCTTATATTTCAGATTAGATTTAGCTGCTCTATTAAGGCCAAAAAACTTGTCACTTGAAATAGGCAAATAATACCTTCCACCTACCAAATCCCAGCCACAGTTGCACTAACATCATGCAAGGCTCAAGTGCATTTACTCCTTAGCAGTACTTTTAAGATGAAAATAAACTCCAAAAAAGCTTTATATTAACAATCATGTTTGAAAATTGAATGTTTCACAATGCTCTAACTCAGCACTTTCTCCCTCTCTTAACCCTCCCCCCAAACAGACCTATAATCATTTCTTCTTCTTCCCCTTCCTCTTGCGCATATCAGACATCTGTTGACCACCAGCTTGGCTGTTCCCTGAAGCATAATTCTTTCCAAACTTTTCCTTACACAAGTTGTTAAAGAACTCTTCTAAATCTGGATCACTGAAATTGAAGATTAAACATGTAAAACAATATAGCACTAACCTGTAACAATATCAATGAAAGTTTAAAAGTAACTGAATAAGCAAAACCCAAAATAGAGGTTGATAATTAAGAGTGATGGGTTTTTAAGTACCAAAAATATCTATACCTTGTCCAAAGTAAAAACACTTCCTTCAGAGAAATGCCATATCTCAAATCCACTCAAATAGTACAACATTCGAAGGAGTACCTACAACACTTTTCAAAGAATTCTACAGCTTGTCAATAACAGACACTACTAACTTCGATACCATGGACCTATACAAAGGCACAAAATGGTCTGGATTGTTTTGTTTCAATACAGCCCCTTTCAAGGCAGGGAAAATTGCAGACCTGGAGAATATAGAGAACTTTCACCGCACGTAAAAGTACAATAAAACACCTCAATTACTGAGAATGGTTGGAGTCCCTTGACCTGTACTGTACATGATAATATACACTTGGAAAATCCTAGAGGGACTAGCCCCAAATGAGCACACGGAAATCACTCCCTATGACAGCACACACACTCAACAGGCAGTGTAGCATCCCCCTAATGAAAAGAAGGGATGTCATGAGTACACTAAGAGACAACACAATAAGTAGCATTATTATTATAATCAAAAGAAGCACTAAACCCCAAGGGTTATACAGCACAGCAGAGCAGGGAAGGATGCATTGGAAATGGGTGACAAGAGGGAGAGGGATGATTATTAGGGTATGGAGTGCAGCAGGGCAGTGGATTGTGCAGGGGTTAGAGGGTAGCAAGAGATTAAGGTAGAAAAGACAGAGGAGAATGCTAGAGGCATCATCATCAGAGTTTGTGTAGTAAATCAGTTGCTGTCAAAAAGTCAATGAGAGAGTCTGGATTAAAGGACGGTCCATCAGCAAGAAGGGAGGGTAAAGAAAGGGCAGCAGAGCAGAGACGACGACGGAGGTAAATTCTGCGTGCACATTGATGAGTGGACAGTCCAATAGAATGTGGCTAACAGATACTGGAATGTGACAATTCTCACAATGAGGAACAGGACGCCTCTCCATGAGATACCCATGAGTAAGATGAGTGTGGCCAATGCAAAGACAGGAGGGAGTAGTCTCCCAACCCCGACACTGATGACAAGAGGGCGGCCAGAAACCTATACTCAGTTTAATAGAATGAAGTTTGTTATGGAGCAGATCAGACCAACATTGTTGCCAACGGGTGCGAAGGTGGGTAGAAATTTCAGCAAAATAGTCTGTGAATGGAACACTTCGATATGAAACTGGGAGGTCATGTACTGTTGACCGCGCAGCAGTGTCTGCCTGTTCATTGCCCTGTACATCAACATGACCAGGGACCCAACAAAAAACAATATCTTTGTGTTTGCTAGAGATACGGCATAGCCAAAGTTGGATACGAAGAACCAGGGGGTGAGGTGTATCAAATTTTCGTACAGCCTGTGAAGTGCTAAGGGAGTCCGAAACAACCACAAATGGTAACACAGGCATCGATGCTATACGGATAAGTGCTACAAGAATGGCATACAATTCAGCTGTAAAAATAATAGCCGAGGATAATAAATGTCCTCGCATGACACTGTCCGGAAACACTGCTGCAAATCTGATGTCATCAGAAGACTTAGAACCATCGGTGTACACTGCGATGGCATGAGAATGAGAGCAGAAGTGGTCAAGGAAAAGAGAGCGGGAAGCCTCCATAAGGAGTTGGGCTTTCACGCATGGCAGTGGGAAAGAACAGATTCGAACAGCTGGATTTTTTAATATAATTTATGTTAAGCGCTAAATCCATGGGGATCATTCAGCGCATGACAATGTGGAGGCTTGATCCTCCGTTTGCTGAGCACCAGACAGACGCGCTTCCTATTTGTACTCACAGCTGGAACTTCCCAAGAGGGCAGGGAAAAGTGAGATGCTACATGAACATAGAAAGGTGGTAATTGAAGAGAAGACAAGAGCAAATGGAGGCAGAAAGAAAAGGAGCGAAGTAAGCAGGGTGACGAACAAATAAAGAACGTCTACTAACATCAGTGACCATCCTATATATGGAAGGATTATGGAGGTCATACGATCGAACATAATAGCAAAGGCAATGAGCATCATGGTGATCGGACAAAGATGGAATATTCGCTTCTGCATAAGAGGCTCTGAACAGGGGATGAATGAAAGGCACCAAGGCACAGACGGAGACCTTGGTGATGAATGGTATCTAACGTAGACAGAGTTGTGGGAGAGGCCGCAGAATAGATTTAGTCACCATAATCCAGCTTGGACAAGACTAGGGTGGAATGCAAACGAATGAGAGTGCGACGATCTGCTCCCCATGAATGAGTGAGAACATTAAGGAGATTTAGCCAACCATGGCAAGTTGTCTTTAAAGAAGAAATGCGTGGTCTCCACGTCAGCTGGCGATCAAAGAGCAGGCCCAAAAACTTGACCATATCACATGTCGGAATACATGAACCGTGTAAGTACAAGGGAGTATTCGGAATAAGAGAATGTCTAGTGAGGGTAATGAACCAGGTTTTCGTACTAGAAAATTTAACGCCATGAGAAGTGGTCCAATGGGAGACTCGGTCTATCACAACCTGAAGAGAGGCTGCTACTAATCGACAGTCAGCGCCTGAGTAAGCTATAGAGAAGTCATCAACATAAAGTGACGGCCAAATATGCGAAGGAAGAATGGAAGGGAGGTCATTTATAGCTAAGAGAAAAATAGTAGTGCTGAAGACACAACATTGTGGAACTCCCTCGGGTTGTACAAAGTCCAAGGAAAGCAAGGCGCCAATACAGACCAGAAAATGTCTCTTGGACAAGAAAGCAGCAATGAAGTTTGGTAGATTACTGTGGAGGCCTAAGGAGTGGGCTTGGGCTAAGATATTATACCTCCAAGTGGTGTCATATGCCTTCTCTAGATCAAAAAAGACCGTTACGACAATGATTATTAGCAAAGGCACTGCGAGTATCAATATCTAAGTGGAGCAAGGGGTCTACAGTACAGCGGCCTTTGCAAAAGCCATACTGGTGAGGGGAAAGGCTATTGTGTGTCTCTAAGAATCACATCAGACATCTATTCACTAATTGTTCCATCACCTTGCAGACCACACTGGTCAGGGCAATAGGACGATAGTAAGAGGTGTCAAGTCCTGAGGCGCCTGGTTTGCGAAAAGGTAGTACAATATCCGATTTCCAGTGTTGAAGAAGAACCCCTTGCGTGTAAATTAGATTGAAAAGATGTAAAAGAACAGGATGGAGCAGTAGAATGGAGATGTTTAACCCGTAAACGGTCCAAACGTATATATACGTTTTTTCAGCATTTGATAGTATGTAAAAAAAGTAGATCTTCTTTTGTTTTGTTTTTTTACATTTGAAAACATGTAAAAAAACTTTGATCTGTTTTTTTTTTATACTTGAAAATATTTAAAAAAACTTAGATCTACTTTTGGAGCACTACGCATGTGAACGTAGATCTGCTTGGACCGTTTACGGGTTAAGCAGGTCCCAGTGCCAATAGCCACCAAATGGAAAGCATGGATTCCAGTTCTTGAAGAGTAAAAGGTACGTTATACGGCTCCAACCCATCAGAGGAGAAATCTAAGGGCAACTGCTCTTTGGTAGGTTCAGATGCAAGAAATGAGGGACAGAGGTGAAGCCCTTAGGGAATACAGACAAGATAGTTCACGATTGCTGTGGCAACTTCTAAGGGTTCCGCGACATCAACTCCAGCAACCCACAAAACGGGAGCTGGGTCCAGAGTATACTTACCACACAATTTCCGCACTTTTTCCAAATTGCGCACGTAGGGGAAGGCGAGTTAATGGTAGACAAGTAGTTTCGCCAACAAGTGTGCTTAGCGTAGTGGATGACGCGACGAGCCTTTACCTGCTTGAGATCCAACAGAAGCTCCGCGGTACAATTATATCGATAACGGCCCCACGCAGCACATTTTAAGTGCACTGCATGGGCACATGTAGACAACCACCAAAGTACGCCTGCCTGAGAATGCCTACCTGAGGTTTGGGGGATAGACTGCGTCACTGCAGTTAGGACCAAGGTTGAAAAGTGGTGTGCCAATTCATCAATAGAGGAATACAAGTCCCAATGGGAATACAAGTCCCAATCTGCTCAAGCAAATTGCCAATGAGGGCTACAAAATTGTTGGGCATATGTAGAAGAAAGAAGGATGGGAAAGTGATCACTATCATGTAAATCTGGAAGAACAGACCACACAAAATCAAGTGCAACAAGCGAGGAACAGATAAAAAGATCAATGCAGGAGAGAGACCGAGTAAGAGTCAAAATGGATAAGAGCACCCATGTTTAAAACATGAAGAGGATGAGAAGCGAGAAGTCTCTCCAACTGATCACCACAAGAGTCACAGTGGGACCCTCCCCACAGGTGATGGTGAGTGTTAAAATCACCCAATAACAATATGGGCGGTAGTAGAGATGAAATTAAAAATGCAATATCAGGGATACAGAATACACAGGAGGGAGAAAGAGAGAGAGAGCAAACTGTAAACCATCAGTGTAAATAAATACAAGCTGCAGTATAATGCAGCGGGGAATGAAAAAAAAACTTGTTGATATGGTATATCAACGAGTACAAGAAACGCTCTTTCATTAAACGATTCATCAGGTAAAGGAACAGAAGAATGTATCAGCAAGTAGCCCGAAACGGGGTGAATAACAGCAGAACAAATTTTGGGCCCTTGCAACCCAACAGATACTGGGGACAACTGGGAGAGCAACAAATGGAGTTCTCGATTGCCCTAAGGACACAAATATTCCATTGTAAAAAAGACATTATGTACAGAAATAAAAACGACAGCAGTAAGAAACGATAAAACTTATGGGCTTTGAGGATCAGTAAAGTTAACGTGTGGGGGCAACAGTAAGCGTGTAAATAAGGAAGAATTAGAATATTGCGGAGGAATAGATTGTTGCATGGGTCGTGAAGTAGAAGGGGTAGGAGGAGGCACGTT